ATAGCTTCCTAGCTGAAACCAAAAATTGCCAACATATGTTTTTTTACGCATGCATTTTGTTTGCTTTTATTAGAGGGACGTACCATCCAAATTTCGTTAAAATTGCTCCATAAATAAGAAAGTTGGATGTTGCACATGCGCAACACTATTTTTTGCGCATGCATTTTGTTAGCTTTTATTAAAAGGACCTACCATCTAAATTTCGTTAAAATTGTTCCATAAATAAGAAAGTTGCATTTCTGCACATGCGCAACACGATTTTTGCGCATGCATTTTGTTTGCTTTTATTAGAGGGACCTACCATCCAATTTTCGTTAAAATTGCTCCATAAATAAGAAAGTTGGATGTTGCACATGTGCGCAACTCGATTTTTTGCGCATGCATTTTGTTTTCTTTTATTAGGAGGACCTACCATCCAAATTTCGTTTTAATTGTTCCATAAATAAGAAAATTTCATTTCTGCGCATGCGCAACACGATTTTTGCGCAACACGATTTTTGCGCATGAATTTTGTTTGCTTTTATTAAAGGGACTTACCATAGAAATTTCGTTTAAATTGCTTCAGAAACAAGATCGTTGCGTTTTGCACATATGCAACACAATTTTTTGACTTTGACAATTTTTTTTCTCCGTTTTTTGATAATATAACCCGGCCCAATTTTTTGTAGGTTGTACACAGGAAAATAAGGTCTTCCAAATAATAGAATAAAAATTTTAGGTTGCTATTTGAAAAAAAAAGTTCGATGCCGTTACGGCGCTCCAAAATTTTTTTTCAAAAATCCGGCCGGTTATTTTTCTGTTCGGTATGCCTAAAACATATATACAAAATTTCAACAAAATCCGTCGAGCCGTTTTCTCAGAAAATTGCCAACAAACGTACGTACGTACGTACGTACGTACATACAGACGGAAAAAATTTTTATTCTTTAAAAGTTGCTTAAAATGGTCTAAAACGTCGACATTTGATGAAATTTTGAAATGTTCAAAAAACGGCTATCGCAATAGCTACCTAGCACATGCTAGGAAGCTAAAAAGCTGTGATTTATGAAAATTTTCAAATCCGCATTTAAAAATTAGCGCCACGCGTGTATCGTTCAATTTTTGGACATTTAGTTAATCCGTTGGGACGTATTCTCAATGAAATTAAGTCTTAATCTTTTTGCCAAAATTAAGGTAGGTATGTCAAAGTTACGTTACCGCGTATGGTTGATCATTTGTTTTAAATAATGAATTTTTACCACAAAATCTTACAAATGAATCATAAGCAGCTTTGAACACAATATCGAAACTTCCGATAGTTGCGCTATATTTTGATCATAGAAGTTTTCTTTCAACGAATCTTGTTTCTGTTTCTCAACAGGCAATTAATTCGGAATTATAGATCAACAGGCCAACAGCAGAAATGTTGATGCACGTTAGGTACGATATTTTAACCCAGATGAATAATATGTAGAAGTTATGCCAAAAAATTAAAATTTTATGGCCACAAGGCAATAATTGTACCGTTTCCAACTACTTTGCGGTTAACGCAAGAAGGTAATTATTGTCGAATTAAAAAAGTTACAATTTTAGTCGATATTGCGTGGTCATTGTTTTTCTTTCAGCACTTTGGTGTTACGCTCCATTTAAATGCGAATGTCATAGAGTTTCTCTTGTAATTGGCAATTTAAAATTTGTCTTCTCATTTCATTAAGTCTAATGCGTCGATTTAATCAGTGCCCGTACTTTTAACGGCAATCCATAAAACATGTAATCTAAGTACGGGATCGTCAAATCCCCTTCGAGAAAATGAAATGGCATTCTTGTAAAGCGTGGCTTCCATTAGCGTGATTGGGTGAGGTGCACGCCGCGACGCTAGGCGCCCCCGATATATCCTTTTTGATGACTCACTCGGGCGATCTTATGAAAAGGACAAGTTTTCGTTTCATCGCGCGCGCGGGGTTATTTAAAATTGCCGTTTCTCGCATTGAAACTTATTCCTGTACCCCGTAGTAGACGAAATCTGTAAGCAGCATGTTACCGATCGCAGTTTTGGGTTATTTTAGCTTCGGTTATTTTCAATTCCCACAATCTGCCTACCATATTGCCCAGTTGTTTCGACTTGCCAATGACAGCACATGGCTCAATCTTATAAAAGCCAGATTTTCATATACGTATATACTCAAGATATTTTTGTGCTTTGCATCTCGTCAATGCACATATGCATTCATAAGAGGGATGCGGTGCCATGAGAATTTCTTGTACTTGACATTCAGCAGTGTTGATACAATTCAGGCACTCGATATATTCGTTTTTCCGGTTGATGGCAAACGGTATAGAACAAGGCTACCTAAATAAGAAATAATACCATAGTCTTTTATTAACCACGGAAGCCTTGGACCGAAAACCACACTTTTGCCTACCTGTAAATGGTGAACTCGAGAACGGAAAAGCATACCTGTTTCCCACAATAGGTAGCTTAGCAGAGTTCGTAGATGAACATCGGAGTGACCAACCAATTCCAAAATGATTAAAGCCGAAGGCGCTAATTTGACATACTGTATGACAAAAGAAAGCAAAATCGTATGCTAAATTTTATTGAAAATGCGTCTAACTCCAGGAATTAAATATACATACATTTTCTATGACCATGTGAGATCAAAATCGCAAATGAGCACGTACTCATTTAGGAAAACAAGCTCTGTGCAAAAAATTTAATTACCTACTGGGCTTTTAAAAACTTGTAACTGCTTAGGCCTTTTGACAGAAATCGATAAAGATTTGGTAGATATTTCTGCGTGTTGGTTTTCTATAGGATCTTTGTTTCTTAATTACTTTAGGAAACCGGTAGACACATAAAGTCTGGCTTGTATCGTATTTGATCTGTTTAATTGGTACTGTCAGATTACAATGCCAACTCGGCATGAGATCACTGGGTAGTATGGATACCGTAAAATCTGCAGATTTGAAGGATATGTGAGAGACTCTACTTTGATTTGTAGGGCGTGATTTGAGTAGCAAATGAATGATTAGAAATGGTCGTCTTGGTTGATACTAACTACTAAGAAAAAAAGGGGGGGGGGGAATCATTTTTCTAGAGATTTTGAAAA